AAGTCTACGGACTTGGCGCACCCTCACTGATTGCAGTTATCTACGGCTCCCTCCTCCTCCCCCCACTTTTTTCTTAGCCTACTTTTTTTTAATGTTGTTTGGATTAGTAAAGGAAGGAAGATGAGTAAATAGAAGAATAAATAAAGAAGGGGAAACAGAAAATAGTTAGAGATAACAGGTGGGGGGAGCTGAGTTTCATCATGCGTCTGGATGCGCAGTTTCAACGTTACCAGACGACCTTACAGCTACAGTGTATACTTATTCCTGTGGCTCATGGAAAAGGAGAAGAGATAAAAAGATAATAACAGGAATGCATGGAGAAGATGACTACAATAGACACAGAGTGAAGAAAGACAGTGAAACAGACAGGAGGTTCATAAATATAGACAAATTCATACATGCACAAATAGACAATATGGCAACTAACATGACAGACAGATAGCTGGCTGACTGGTTCACATTAGACAAGCAGGCAGACACACGCCAACAACGGATAAGACAGACAGATTTGACTACACAAAGAGTACAGACGGGCTTAAATTCAAACACCAAGCAGACGAACAGACAGTTGGGATGGCAATAGACAGGATGGATTGACCTGAGACAGATTAGAAGGCATTTATAAACAAGAATAACACCAAATTGACCATAGCTGCGTCAGTGAGGGTAGGAGGTCTTACATCCACCAGCGTAAATAATAAGACGCATTGAAAACTAACACCCACGCGCGGAAAGAGCATTGATGGGCGGTCAGTCATGTGAGATGGGCCTAAAACTGACTAACGTAGATGATAACTATGATGACTTAACACAGGTGATGACTTAAGTAGATGGTGACTTATCTAACCAGAATCAAGGACACTTCTCTTCATAATATAATTTATCTCGGAGTGATCATCGGTGATTCATAATATTTTTTTTATGATTTTAACCTCTCCTTATGGCGAATATTTCTTTAACTAATTATTCTAACCTTTATTCTTTTCCTTCTTATAGTATATTAGATATTGTAAGTCTCACGACCACGACCATAATTATAGCAACCACGACCATGATTATAACAACCACGACCATGATTATAACAACCAAGACTATGATCATAACAACCACGAATACGATCATAACACCCATGACCATGATTATAACAATCACGACCATGATTATAACAACCACGACCATGATTATAACAACCACGACCATGATTATAACAACCACGACTATGATTATAACAACGACGACCATGATTATAACAACCACGACTATGATTATAACAACCGCGACCATGACTATAACAACCACGACTCTGATTATAACAAGCACGACCATGAATATAACAACCACGACCATGATTATAACAACCACGACTATGATTTTTTTTTTTTACGGGGATAAGCCCATCCGGGCACAGGTTACTGACCCACATCAGGGCCTGGGGGGCGAAAATATAATAATAATAATAATAATAATAATAATAATAATAATAATAATAATAATAATAACAATAATAATAATAATAATAATAATAATAATAATAATAATTAATAAATATTAATAACAAAATACTAAAAATAAAATATATATTAAACATAATCATAATCATAAATAAATACAAAATCGGAAAAATATATCAAGAATGAGAAATGATAAACATTATGTATGTTGTATTGTCAAAGTAAGAGAAACAATTGAGACCCTGCAATTGTGTGTAAATGAAGCAGAAAGTCAGATCAGCAACCTGGGACTTGGTCACAATTTTCGTGATGCCATATGGCAGCAGGGTCTACCATTAGACAACACATTATGCTTCCAATATCTTCCCAGGCGGTAGTACCTCCCTGTTTGATAGCTGCCTACAATCACGACTATGATTATAACAACCACGACCATGATTATAACAACCACGACCATGATTATAACAACCACGACCATGATTGTGTAATGCGGGGTTTTAAGAGTAGAAAGTATAGAGAGAATATTTAGTAAGAGAGTAAAAGAGAGGAAGAATTTGGAAGCGTGGCCGTGTTAGTTATTTACTCTGTCAATACACTTATCTTATCTTATACGTCAACACACTTCTATTACGTTCTTAAGGACGACTTCTCAAACACCGCTTCGTTACAAAAATTTATTAATTACGACAATGACATGGACACATTAATAACACCTTCTATCGAAGTTACTAGGACATTATATTTACGTTACTAGGACATCATATTACGTTACTTGACACTGATTCTCGGACTCAACATGAAATGAATACACTTCCCACGTAAGTAACTCATCCCATGGAAAGCTCTGACAATAACTCACGTGACCTGGGGGAGGCCTAGCAGGTGGTCCTGGGTTGTCTCTGTGGGAGACTGCTTAGCTGGGCACCGGAGGGAAATCGGGGAGGGAAGTCTTGCGTGACTCTCCTCCCGTGAGCAGGACTGGGCTGTCGTGGACCTCCTCCTCTGATCCCTCTGTGTGTCTGTTTCTCCCGACTCTGTCTCTTTGACTCCCCTGAGGGAGGGCTACGACGTCCTATATATTGGGAGACGAGCCGTCAGGTTGAGCTGATCCGGGGGGGCGGAGAAGGGTCTCCTTACATTTGACCTCGCTAATGTAGGGTCGGGTCTGTACTTTTTCTGAGTTATAAGTTGTTGTATATATATTGGAGCCAGGTGGCCTCTTCTGCTGACTGGGTACCGAGTGATTTGTAACCCCTTGACTTGGGCTGCGAGGGGTCCCCCTTACATTTGACCTGGCTAATGTGAGGTCAGGTCTGGACCTTGTCTGAGATGTACTGTAGGTTATTGTGTAAATTGGGGGAGGGTCGGCAGGTGGCTCCTTCTGACTGTGTGTCTCTTACATATTTGTTGGGGCTGTGTGACATGGGGAGAGGTGCTGGTTGATATGTAACCCCCTTGAGCGGCCGCGAGGGGTACCCTCACACTTGACACCCCTAATGTCGGGTCAGGTCCGGACTGTTTCTGAGATGTAAGCTGTGGTCTGACAACCCATCACTACAACTATAACAACCATGACCATGATTATAACAACCACGACCATGATTAAAACAACACCGACCATGATTATAACAACAACGACTATGATTATAACGACCACGACCATGATTATAACAACCAAGACCATGATAACAACCACGACCATGATTATAACAACCATGACTATGATTTTACAACCACAACCATGATTATAACAACCATGACCATGATTATAACAACAACGACGAAGATTATAACAACCACGACCATGATTATAACAACCACGACCATGATTATAACAATCACGACTATGATTATAACTACCACGACCATGATTATAACAACCACGACTACGATTATAACAAGCACGAACTTGAATATAACAAGCACGACCATGAATATAACAACCACAACTATGATTATAACAACCACGACTATGACTATACCAACCATGACCATGATTATAACAACCAAGACCATGATTATAGCATCCACGACCATGATTATAACAACCTCGGTAAACTGTACCACCGGACTCGCCACCGGGCACGAAGTGCCCACGATCACTTGTTGTATCTAAAATTCTAGAGAGAGCAGTTGAGGTGGAAAGATATCTCTATGATTATAATTGCCTATAGTTACCAGTTAGAGCTTAGGGACTTTCAGTGGCCATGCAAGGACTCAAATACCTCATGGAAATTACACGGGTATGGTAACGTTAGGGTTACAGAAAGCCTATTACACAGTGGATCATGATATAATATGTGACGAACTGCAGGCACTTAGCATTAGATCACTTGACTGGTTTAAATATTATCTTAACAACAGGAAACGAAAAGCCGTTGTACATAATCCAGAGTTACTAACATTGTCGATAGTCTCTGGAGTCCTACAAGGGAAAAGTATCCTTGGACCATTGCTCTTCCTTCGTTGTGTAAATGGCATGCCCGTTAGTGTAAATTGCTTTTACATAATGCTCAAGAATTAAATATGCTGGAAGCAATAATTGGTAATGCAATTCGTAATCAGTTTGAAAAACACAATTTCAAAATGACTCTCAACATAGCCTTTACTAGTGGCTGCTCGTGTCTGACAAATTTACAGTCATTCGTTCTAAGTGTTTTCGAAGTTGTGGACAACGATAATGACTATGGTGTTATTTACCTTGGCTTCAGCAAAGCTTCATATTGAATTCAACACGATTTATTAATAAGGGAAGTAGAGACGCATGACATTAGAGGGGAAATTCTAAACGGGATTAGGTAAAGGTTAACAGTGATAATCCCGAACATTAGGAGTCTTCCATGTAGAGAAATGAAGAAACTGAGTCTATTCTCTTGACTGTCTTGAGAGACATCGAGTGAGGGCGATAATGTGACCCAAAGAAGGCATTTAAACATAAATTTCAAAAAAATCGTAAAAATGGATTTAAATGAGTGAAATTTACATATAAGAAAGAAAATAAATTAAAATTATTAAAGAAATATATTCACACTGGAAAGTTTGTAATATAGGTTCAATAGATGCACGAGTGATAATGGTCTTATTACGGACAATGTTCGATAGATTTGGCATCCTGTGTACCGCCGGCAAGGCCATGGGCTAGTAACACTCGTCTTGCCCGCGGTGCCCTCCGTTTCTCTGTGGCTGTCGGTCATACTAGAATAACCCGTTATAGTACATTATTCTTTCGTCACACAGCCAATCTGTGAAATGCTCTGCCTTCGTCTGTGTTTCCATACTCATACAATCTGTCTCACTTCAAAAAGCTGGTTTCCCGGCATCTTCGTGGTGTACATTAATATAATCTTTTTCTTTTCTATTTTTAATTTCTTTTTACTCTTATTTTTTTCGCCCCCTAGGCCCCGTTGTGGGTCGATGACCTGTGCCTGGGTGGGCTATTCCCCATAAAAAAAAAAAACAGGGACTGCCTTACATGGAGTCTACTGCAGTTTACTTATGTTTACTATTATGTTCTCATGATCTCTTGTTATAAATTTCTAAGCTACCTACCAACACCTGTGAGGGTCGCTGACGAGAAGTATGGAGGCGATGAGTCCGTAGAGGTAGGAGTGGTTGTTCCAGGTGGTCTTGTCCAGCAGAAAGAGGTACCAGTACACTGCCACGAAACTTCCACAGCTCACCCGCCACCTCCACCCCAACACCATCAACACCGAGCCTGAAGAATACGGTAGTTTGGAATCTGTTTATCTATCTTTCTAACTTTTATCTTATGCACTGTCTATATGTTTAACTCTACCCATTTAAATATTTATTTTTTAAATATTTATATAATATGTAATTCTACATACTTCAAAGGAGACCTCCCAGTGATTAAAAAAAATCAATGTTTGTATTATTACCTGAAAATCCAAGAGCCTTAGAGTGCACCAAACTTAGAACATTAAAGTAATAGCCCCTGTCTCATGGCAATAACAATTATATAAATTTGGGTTAATACATTTAGTTTATATAATACAACCACCCTACTGTAATCTTCCATAAGCTGTGAGGTGTCATGTGCTATTCACGTGAGGGGAAATTCTTTTATCAGTAGACTGACCTTGAGATTGTAGGGTTAACCCGGCATCTCCTTCAAAGGCCCCCTCTTCTCAGAGACACCTCCCCTCACAGGCCCTGTCCTCAGGACCTCAGTTCACACTTGACTCTCTCGAGAATTGGACGAGTGACTTAACTCAGCCCAGCTGAGCCCTGTCCTTAACTAACACTCACAGCTTACAGTGTTAATTAAGGTGCTTTTACGCATAGCCTGTGACCATTTTAGTTTATCAATAAATGGAGAAAAGACCATTTTGGGTTTGTAACTTAACCCCTTAACTTATATATATATAAATATATATATATATATATATATATATATATATATATATATATATATATATATATATATATATATATATATATATATATATATATATATATGTAATATTCAGAAATTTCAGTGTAATTTCAAACGCCGCGCCATTGGCGATACTGAGCTTTCAAGGTCGTCTGAGGGAAGAGAGCGCTCCCCACACATAGTGAGAGGTTGTGGAACTAGGCCTATATGATATTAAATGTAATTTGCCGAATTAATAATGATGCGATTCATGAAGTTAAGGGACTATTATTGAATTTGGAATTATTATAGATCGTTTATCAGTCTGAATAATGTTACGGGTGTCCCAAGGAGTTATTAGTTAGGCGGAAAATATGTCACGTAGGCCTAAGCTGACGCCTTGAGAGGACACGAGGCTGGCTAGCCCTCAGTCACGCGAAAGCATTCGGACAACAAGACGTCCCTGCGCGTCCGTCACAGAAATAGTCACGTGGCCTAGTCACCTGTGTTGCGCTATTGCAGTATAACAAGTAAGTCTCATTCGATCTCAGACAGGGTTTAGATAGGGCAGTGATAAAGTTAACAAGAGCTAACAGTGAGTTCATTTCAGGGTTTCCGTCAGAACCCAATTGACGCACTTGACTGCGAGAGATTGACTGCCGTTTGAGACTGCCGTTGAGGATTGATGATTGGCGATTGTCGCCGTTGGAACGATCAGTGCAGGCTTGTCACTGGTTAGCGGGGAGCAAAGGATCTCTTGAGTGAACGAGTGCTCCCGACAACTAAAACGATACGGGGCCAGCATCAGCATTGGGTGATCAGTTCTTACCACGTGGGTGCACAACACCACACCACGTGTCCTCGGTCAGATAGAAGTATTACCTACTGGCCATAGTCACCTGTTGGCGTTCTCTCTTCCCGCCCATGGACGCACTGAGAGTACACTGAGGCTATCTGAGTAGATTAATGGTCACACACTGAGACCAGGAGTCTAGGGGATACCTAGAGAAACATTTTATCTCCCTTATTACGGGTGTATGTTGAATTGGGTGGAGCATGGTTCACGGGTATTGGTGGACCCAGTAACATCTCAATAATAGTGACAATATTTTTGTGTGTAGTTAGTACCATTTTTTCAGTTACTGATATTATCTTGACGTGTGTAGTAATAGTTCTTAAATGATTTTGATAGTATTGTTTTTTGAATGTTTGTGTCACTAAGTGGAACCAGAGTGATACTGTGATTTAATTCCTTTAATGCATTTAATTTTTCTTTATAATTCCGATCTCAGGTATAACCTTTGTTCCCCAGAGTAGTGTTTAAGTTAGGTTAGGAATTGTGCATCTGTTGGGGTGATATAATTTTGTTGAGTGCCCTTAAGGCCTATTCATTGTAAAGTTATTAATTTCTATTTTTTTACCATTTTCTCAGTGGTTGATATTATTTTGTTCAGTGCCCTTAAGGCCTATTCATTGTAGAGTTATTAATTTCTATTTTTTATACCATTTTCTCAGTGGTTGATATTATTTTGTTGAAAGCCCTTAAGGCCTGTTTCATGTGTGCAAGCAACATTTCTTAATACTTAAATTTATTGTTGTCTAATGAGGCATTGTCTGAGTTTCTAATAATCTCAATATCATGTATAACTTTTATTCCCCAGAGTAGTGTTTTAAGTTCAGGTTAAGAGGTGCGCATATTGGTGTACCATTATTTGATTGTGTTTGTAGTGTTGGAGGGAATATATGTGTCTAAATTTTACAGTGTGTCTCATTCATCCCAGTCACAGATGCTATCCTTCCATGAGTCACGGACAATTCATTTTGTTTAGTAAATTTAAGTGTTCTTGTGCTGGTTCCGGATTTTTTTAAAGGGGCGCTTCCACTGCAATTACCATCTAATAATATTTAATAAACCCTAAGTTAAGTGAGAATTAATAGTCCAGTAAATTCCGACCGGTTACATATATATATATATATATATATATATATATATATATATATATATATATATATATATATATATATATATATATATATATATATATATATATATATATATATATATATATATATATATATATATATATATATATATATGTATATAAGCCAAGTTAATAGGGAGCTCTACCCAAAGCTTATATATAAAGGTGGCAGCGAATAGATAGAACCATTAACTGAACCAGTGAAGCAGTGTAATTAACTGTGCAAGAACAGACGTCACTGTAACCCAAGTAACAGTGAAATTTTCCAAGTGTCGTTCTGCATATAAAATCAAATATTTAAATGTCATATATCCATACTTTTTTAATACATTCCAGAATTGAAGTCCATCTTGTGATCAAAACCTCTCAGCTGAGTGGAATGCCCCTATGGAAGACTGCCCATCCTCAGTCCAGATGTTACCGTATCTTAGCAACGAAACTATTCACCGGCATCTCGGGTTTTCCCACCATGACTCATGGCGGCTGCTGCCGGGTATATAAGCTCTGTCTCTCCATTGAGATTCATTCTGACCATTCTTCTTGAACAAGCAACACCTCCTCCTCTGCTGCTGCCTGGCGACCCTCGCCTCTCCTCCGCCTGCCTGGCGGTCCTCGCTCCCGCCAGCGAGCATGTCCTTCTCTGAGCTTCCTCACCAACCAACTCTCATTCTGCCCATTTTCCTGAACAAGCAACATCTCCTCCAGCAAGCTCCACGCTGTTAACATTTCATTCAACCAGGAGGCCAGCAACAGGCAACATCTTCTCTAACGAAGCTCCTGTACATCTACCTCCTTCAACAAGCTACTCACCGCACGTCTCTACCAAGCAGCCCCTCACCACACAGCACCTCCAGCACCAGACTGTCTATCATATAACTTATATATTATACAAGAAAACCACATTAGAGTTTCCTTCCATCCTGAGTGCTAGACGACATTAATATCTCGATACCCCTACACTGTCTACATTTTTTTCACTTTTCAAAGAACAACCAAACCATATAGCCACAGTTCAACCCAGTTGAGAAATGACTGTTTAGACATCCCAAGTTGTTTAAATAAATGTCTATGTAGTGTGTAAAACAGAGTGTGGTAAATTCTTTGTGAACCCGGCTACATCTGGCACAGGTCAACACTTGACCTGTCATACTCAATCAACTCCAAGGATCGTCTGATAACAGAACTCCGAGTTCACTGATTAGCCATCCATCACCCCTCTAGTGGTTGACCGTGGTTACTCTCGTCAATACCAGACGCCATCACGAATTCTTCAAGGACGTCATCTTTTAAACACACCAGCAACCCTGAATCTCGACCAGTTGACTGTCATCCAAGCCGCCGAAGTCTACGGGATCAAAAGCCAGATTTTCAAGAAATTCCTAGAATTCTATAATCAAGCCACAGGTAGACAGGTTAGACAGGACACATTATATTAAACACACATTAACATATGCTCCAACACAGCATCACATGTTAGGATACATCGTGTAGGATAATGTTTAATTTATAAGTGTCTTACTTAATATATATATATATATATATATATATATATATATATATATATATATATATATATATATATATATATATATATATATATATATAAATATATATTTCATTTACCCAATAAAGCACGTGGACTTCTACATATAATCAACACCTTATCCCGCCAGGATTCGAACCCACGGTCTTATATTGTGACCGGGGAAAGCTACCTAATGGGCTAATGAAATATATATGGATCCTCGTGTTTCGAAGCCGGATTTGGTAAAACGTTGCTCTGATCAACTAAGAGGCACGGGTGGTCCCCATTTGAGGTTCACGGCGCCATAAGCTCGTTGAACAGGCTTTGTGTGAAATATAACAGAGTCTAGGACTGCTTTTAGTGTCCTGGTGGCCCAGAGGTAGCGTTCTCCGGTGACAATTATTAGACCGTGGGTTCGAATCTTGGCGGGGTGAGGTGTTGATTATATATATATGTATATATATATATATATATATATATATATATATATATATATATATATATATATATATATATATATATATATATATATATGCTGATAACCACAAGGAAAAGAAGAAAACACGAAGTTCCGCGCTTTTCGTGTAATTCAGCATCTTCAGGGGTGAGTACAGACTAGAGAGTAATACAAATCAAGGTGTATATATACAGAGGAGGGTGAGACCAGGTCCACAATGGTCAGGTATTAGGTAATGACCCTACTAATCTTTAAATAGCACACAACGGTTGGTGGTCACTTAAGTGATCAATTGCATGACAATTTATGTCGTGAAACCCTAAGGTCAGGTAATACGTACAATACATCACCTGATTACAGGCAGGATACCTCTCAGTCTACAGAATCTCACAGTGTGTCAGAGATTACTTTCCCTCTTGCATCCACGCATCTTTCAGTTAGATCTAAGTTGTCTAGCAACTCGCTAACCATGGCTTCATCTAACATCAACATGTCATCTAACCAACCAAACATTGTTCAAGTAGTACCCCGCAGTGATCGCATCCATGAGTTTACGGCGGAGGATGACTATCGTGTAACCAAATTTTTAAGGTCATGTGAAGATGTAATGAAAAACATTCAAATAACAGGTGATGATGAACGCACAGCATCTGTACGCAGTCACATCAAAGAAGGGACTTATGCAAGCAAACATCGCTTATGCGAAGTTTAGGAAGACTTTAATTGGTTTATTTGAATTAGGCGCACCGGAGAGTCACCTGAACTGGATGTTTAGGTGGGTTGATCATCTGCCACGGACGATACGTGCAGAAGAAACGATGAGAAGTGTTTCTCTTGCTGGCGAAGTCAGTCAAGATATCTTAACCAATTTTGGTGGTTCACCCTGGGTGAACGAGCACAATAATGTCTCTAGACAATTTGGAACAATTAATGGAGTTCCTTGGTTTCATCTTAACAATCCGTGACCCGGCATATAATCATGCAAAGACACATGATTATAAGCCCGATGAGGATATTTTGGATTATGCAGCCAAGATCGCTATTAAATTATCACGTACTCCCCTAGCAAGGACAGTAACACCTGTAGCGTCAATTCAGCAACGAGTTCCTAAGAACTCAGCAACAAAGAAGCAATATTTAATAGGCACTCATTGCAAGAAAAATGGTCATACTGTTGATTTTTGTTACCAACTCCAACGAAGTGGTGCTAAGTTTAAAAACAAACCACCACAGCAACTAGGCCCACCTAAGACTTATGCAACAGCTGCACCAAATTTAGAACAGTAAGCTTAATAAGTCATGCCTGCAAAGTTTTATTAAATATAATTAGCACAAATGCAGAAGTGCCAAGATAAGCAAAAACTTCAAGATAAATACTTGAGATGTACAGAAAAAAGGAAAATTATATATTTTGTTCATATAATCAGGGGGTGAGGGATAATCAAAAAATATTATTGGGCAAGGAAGGCAGAGACTGAAAAGAATGAATAAAGTTAAAATTGGGTCCCAGGGAGATACAATACCTTGGAGAATTGGCAAAAACATCCCGAGTACCGTTTAGAGTGGAGGATTGTCACCAACCCTCAGATATGAGGTCGGTACTCTGATATCTATTGTTCTACCTCACCGTCTATCTCTCCCTTCCGCTATCTATTTATCTTGATATTTTCATCTATAACTTTTATCTGTCTATCTTAACATCTTTATTTATTGATATGTAAATGCGCGCGCGCTTGTGAGAGAGAGTGTGTGTGTGTGTAATAAATAATAATAATCATAATTAACGGTTTATTGAAAGAGCTTGGCAGCCAGAAGGCTGAACATATACAGTTACATATTTGGGGAATGGGTTTCGAATTACAAATAATATACAAATAACATAAGTGATAGAAATAAGATGTATAATAACTAGATGGGGAAAAGCTCAAACTACAGTTCATTTCAACATAGTGACAGTGCAAGAAGTAGTATTTACTGGGAGTGAATACACTGGTTTATTACAAGTTATTGGTAATTTTTACAATGGTTGGGACTGGGCTGTTCTTATAGCGATCAGTTCGTGCACGTATGGGCTGGATGCGGTTGTGGTGTCGAACAGCAATTCTCGGGCTAGGGATCTCAGGTGGTAGTAGGAGCCGGTGTCGAGGATGGTGCAGAAGTGTGTGTGTGTGTGTGTGTGTGTGTGTGTGTGTGATTAAAACGCGTGCGTGGAGTAACGCAGGATTATCAAACTTGGTGATAAACCTCTCAAGAGAAACACTGACCAAGGTAGAATCAGAAGCACTCTCACTAGGCTTAAAATTCGATAAAGTAGAAGATACGAGTGACAGTGACGTGTAAAAGGGGACTGACTGATAAACAACCTAGTGCTTTACCAAAACAGCACAGAAGAACATTGAACTATTTAAGCAAAAAACAAGGTATAGTGATCACCAAACCGGATAAGGGAGGAGTACTTACTAAACGACACCACGACGTATGAAAAGAAACAAAGGGCATGCGAGCAGTGAGTCAATGAAATTCAAAAGTGGTGCTTGGAAGATAGTAAGACAACCGGAGAAGGGTAAAAAAATGGTGAATTTACTCGAGGAGAATCCACACCAGCCGAAAATTAGGGGACTTCCTAAAACTCACAAGACGAGAGTACGAATGAGATCAATCACGTCGTGTACAGGGAGCGCCGACCACAGGTTGGCCAAACTCACTCACACCGTCTATCTATCTATCTATCTATCTATCTATCTATCCTACTGTATGTATGGCATATATAAATACACACACAAGTGAGTACATTAGTTATGTACAGGTGACTACTGTACATATTACAAGTAAACTCACATGATAAGTGCAAATCAGCACAGATGATACTCACATACGAGCATGACACCGTACAGCAGTACCATGTAGTGGAGGGGAAGGGGGGAGAGGTGGGAGATGAGAGGGAAGCGGCAGTCATCAGGGTCCCCCCACCTCAGATCAGCTACCCCTAGCCCCCTCTCTTGTGGTACATCCAGGAACATCAACATACCTGTGGGGAGAGGTTCAAACTGGGGTTAATTATGCTCGGGGTCAGTTGTTAGGCTGCCAAAGTCTTTAAACAGCTAGAGTCACAGAAATAATAATGGGAAGGTGTAACACAAAGGTAATGTTTATTTTTGTTGATATTTATCATTTCGCCACTTATCAGCTTACAAGCCGTTCGGGCCGTTTATTCGTGGCGATATTAATAATAACAAAAAATAAATAAATTCAAGAGATAATGTTAAAAGTCGATAGCTGGAAGAAACAGGAAATATAGCCAAAATGTTTACTTAATAACAGCACTGTAAACTTAGAGCACTTGTGTGTTCAGAAAGATTAATTATAACAACATTCGCAAACACTTCATCGAGATTCACGAAAGTTGCCGATTGAATATCAAATTAATGGGCATATAATTATTTGATACTAATTTAAAAGTTAGGAGAGAAAATGTTTGGTTAGAGCTGAACGAAGTTAAAAAAAATCACCGGGGCAATATGTAGACCACCAAATCTTGATAGTATGGAAGCGAAATTTATTTGTAAGGGTGTTACTTTAATAAGACTGACTGCACCATTCTAACCGGAAAATAATGATCAGAGGAATTCTTAGAAGTTCAGTAGTTGAAGCCTGCCCCTTCAAGCATCTTATAGAAGAGTCTAACCGGTGAAATAATTGACTCAAACTTGTGTTGCTTTAGAGAAAGACTCGAATATATAACACTGACGTAGAGAGTAAGTTAGGAAATAGATATCATAGAGAAATAAGATCTGAAATAGAGCTGACTTTATGGACTAAGATTACACTTACGTTGGACGGGGTAAAACATAATAAGTTAATCTTCTGCTGTAATTGCACACAAATTGTTAATAAGGGAAATAGAGATGCACGATATTAAGAGTGAAAATCTCAACATGATTAGGTCAAGGTTAATAGACGTGGACACCAATTCATGACCACAAAAAAAATACGACGTATAAGTAATTCAGATGAAGACGAGAGGTTTACAGGAAGTCCGTAATATGGACCGAGAAATTGTTAATGTAAATTACTGTAGTGCAATGAAAAGTGTTATGGTTAGGAAATTAATATACAGTATATAGGAAACCAGCAGTCAGACATCGAAAGCCAAGACAATGATATACATAGTGAGGTAAATAGAGTGGAAGGTCTTATATCAAGGAGCGTTAGTTAATACTAATATTATTTTACAACTTGACATTATCTACCGTTAGTGAGACCTCACTTAGATTATTCTGTTCAGTGTGATCACCGTTTGAAAATGTAAATATAAATATTTTAAAGCAGTCATAAATGGATGACCAATTTATTTCCGGACCGGTAGAAACCTTTCATATAGACACAGATTAATTAAGAAAACTGAATTTGATGACTTTGCATTTTCTTGAGACGCTGAAGGAGAGGCGATATGATTTATATCCAAATGGAAGATAGGGATAAAAAAGTGATACATATATTGTTCTATTAAGTGTATAAAAAAAACATTTTATATGACTAATCCAAACATCGTTTCTCTACCCATAACTTGGTTCTTCCACTTTATGTAATGTTTTAGTGACACAATGTACACGACCCTGAAAATTAATAGCATAAATAAACTTTCTACTGCAATAAGCATGACTATAATCAATAAATATACAAAGGGAGTTACCTTAATGTTCATTTAGTGACTCACCGAACACGATCCTGGTTGTGGCGAGAGCTGCAGGGTCACAGGGGCGGTGCAGGAGGCGGGTCAGGTCACTCAAGCTCAAAAAGTCGCGATGCCTAAACCCTAAGGCCTGAGTCACACAAGATAAATCTTGATAAAATCACACAGGAAAATGGGAAACAATGGAGCATCTTAGCTTTCGTCTTTATTCAAGACAGGTAGACAGTTTCATACATTTTTTATTTAGTCACCATGAGTCTACAAAAATGTAATTTTTTTCTGCTATGTTTTTTGGGATGTTTACATATGTGTGACCCTGAATTTATTGAAGAAGAACTGCAACACATTCAGTCCATTACACAAACATTTGAGTCGCCTTCATTGTTTGTTGATCGTTGTTTTAAAAGGGCTAAAAAATCCTTTTATTCTTCTCAAACTAGACAAGTTCTTACAAATAAAAATATTTTGACTCTACCTTACGCAATGAATTTGTCCAGTTAGCTAAGTCCCTTAAATTATTAAACATTAGTGTTATTTTTAAGTATGACTCAAGTATTACTAATATGTTAATCAAGAATAACCCAACCTTGAATGTAAATGGAAGTGTTTACCGCATTCCAAGTAGCAATTGTAACGGAAATTATGTAGGTCAGACTGGGAAAGCATTGCAACTTAGAATTAAACAGCACAAGTACAATATTAGAACAGCATCTGAAAGCGGTGCACTTTTCGTTCATAAAAGGAACAATAATCATCCCATACATTGGGACAACAGTTTAGAAGTGTATAAATCATCATGTGTCACAGAAGGACTTCTGGTTGAATCAAGTTTGATTGAGAAATTAATTCTATAAACCTTAGTGATGGTCAGTACAAAATTGATAATATGTTACACAAATATATTTGTCAGTGGCCCAAGGTTAAAAATGCTTTGGAAGCATTTGAGGTAGATGTAGGATATATATATATATATTACACACACGAATATTAGGTAATTCAATATGGCAGACTTCTACGTATCTGTAACATAGGTAATTTAATATGGGTATTTCTCTGAGTTAATTTTACTACAATGACATACTATATCGTTTCAAACAGAGTGTAAAGAAAGACGTTTAAGAAAATTATATAGTTTGGCAAAAATGCGCAACAAAAGGTTGTAGAGCAGGTGAAACTCACCAAGGCATAAATGCGTGCGTGCGTGTTTACAGGTATTTAAATGTGGATTGTTTGCTTTTATACCTGTAAAAATGCGAGTATGTATTAGCATATAACAAACTAAAACTAAGATTCGAAACCAGATTGGACCAATACAATGAGATACCTGCAAACTGATAACGACGGAGAAACGAGCAATATAATCTGAACAGATATTTTTCATCAGTTTTCACAACCGAAAATTTAAGCATGATAGCCGAGGAAGCGACTATCTACACAGACAGTGACGAAAAAAGATTAAGTGAGATAGTAATCGGAGTAAAGTGAGCTCTAATATCCTCTAACTACTGTCCAATCAGTTTAACATCAATTGTAGGCAAATTACTGGGAGCAACAATTTAAAACTCTATTCGAAATCACCTGGAGAAGCATAAGTTGATCAATGATTCCCAACATGGTTTCACAAGCGGACGCTCATGTCTAACTAATCTATTAACATTATTTTCAGCTGTTTTCGAATCAGTGGACGACGGGCACGAATAGGATGAGGAATATCTCAACTTTAGCAAAGCCTTCGTCAGAGTCCCCCACGAAAGACTAATGCGAAAAGTGGAGGCTCATGGCATTGGAGGAGATATTCTAAAATTGATTACAACACAAGAACACAAGAATGGAGGAAACTGCAGCGGGCCTATTGGCCCATACTGGGCAGTCCTATTTACACCCAACCCCTATTGCTCATATAAGCATCCAACATATGTTTGAAGCTATCCAGCGTATTCGAGTTAATGATGATATTTGGTAACTTGTTCCATTCATCCACTACTCTGTTTCCAAACCAGTGTTTACCTATTTCGCGCCTAAATCTAAGTTTGTCTTATTTAAAACTTACTTTATCACAACAGGTCAAGAGTAAAGGTTTGGAATTATACGTCACGAAAGATTTAAGTAAAATTTAATAATAAAAGTTTACCGTAATAAGCGTGCAAGTTACATAATGAACGTATAATTTAACCGCTCATAGGAGCGATTTGGTTTGTGCAGGAGAATAAGACCCATGTCGTTGATGCGATGAGTATAATTCGGCCAAAACCTGTTAAAGAACAATTCACATATAACAAATGCTGGTATATGAGAACACACAGTATAAATAGTACGATCAATATATAGTACATAACCTATTAACGTCTTAAATATAACTCACATGTTACAACTGCTGATACATCAGGACACAGTTTGTATAATATGATCAATATGCAGTACATAAATACACTTATTAAAGTTATTTAGAGTTCTTAGAGGATTTAATAGTTCACAATCACACTCACGTTTTGGGGTCTAGGGTTTGACCAACGAGAACAGATATAATATCCTCTTGGTAGATGTTGGTTGAACGAAAGTTCAAGATGTTGTCTCAACGGTAGAAGGCGATAGACTGTCCCTCAGGCATTCATACAGCTGCTACCAGCTCCATCTCGCTTAGTAAGCTATCCTGAGTTGTCAACAGTTTCTTCAATCAACATGTGGCCGGCACGTGGCGATGACACTACCCCTGTCGGGCTTTGCTCGAAATCACGGAATATCATTAGATTCACTCTCCAACCTCTTCCAACAGGCAGAGTCTCGTCGCTGGGCGTATTAACACTGAGTCCTTTGTCTTCACTTTAACACTTCGCACCAGGCCATCTCTGCTCGGTAGAGCCTCCAGTACTCTCCCTAGCATCACTGACTCCTGGGTAGGGGTTGTCCAGAGATGATCACGATATTCCCAGCGTGGAGATTACGGCGAGTTTTGAAGAACTTTTGTTGCTGACGTAGTGTTGGGAGATATTCCTTTACCCACCTCTTCCAAATTTGGTCCACAATGAATTGGGCATGCTTCCATCTTCGTCGGTACGCTTCTGCCGTGGACCGATCGCCTACGGTGGACAGTGTCTCCGGGTTCATCCATAGCATGTGAAGCGGCGTTAGTGCTTCTAGATCCTTTGGGTCGTCAGACACTGGGGTGATGGGCCTTCCGTTGATGATCTCTTCTACGGCGCAGAACAAAGTGTTGAAGCGCTCATCGTCTAGTGTCTGCGTGCCCACCACTCCCTGGAGGACCTTCTTTACAGTGCGGATTTGTCGCTCCCACACTCCTCCCATGTGAGAGGCTGTCGGGGGATTGAACTGCCATTTTATATGTTTTTGTTGGAGGGCATTCCCGACCTTGTCACTGTTGTTCCAGCCGCTCACCGCCTCTCGTAACTCTCGGCTAACTCCAATCATGTTAGTTCCCCTGTCAGACCGAATACACTTGGGAGGTCCCCTACGGCAAGTGAATCTTGTCAGAGCATTGACGAACGAGTCGGTGTCTAGTGAGGTGAGGACTTCTAGGTGTATGGCTCTGGTGGTCAGACAGGTGAATAAGCATCCCCATCCCTTCGCCCGGGTTCGTCCTTCTTTAACCAAAAAAGGGCCGAAGCAATCAATTCCAGTGTAGATGAACGGCTGGCCTCATGGGCGCACTCGCTCTTCTGGCAGGTCGGCTTGGCGAAGGTGGGTAGGCCTCCAGTTGCTTCTCCGACAAGTCACACACGCCCGTATTGTGCGGTGGGAGTAATTTGCGGCACTTAAGTATCCAGTACGTCTCACGTATTATGGCCTGAGTGTGTTCTCTTCCTGAGTGTTCAGCTCTAGTCGAGTGTACCTCTCTCACGTTGAGTCCTGTGATCCTGTTGTCCCTTAGTAACAGTATGGGATTCTTCTGGTCTGGGTGGAGAGCGGCATGCTTCAGTCGGCCACCAGGGTCGTCCCTGTTCTAACATTCCTAGTTCTCGAGGGAATCCTTTCTTTTTCATAAATCTTAAGACAGCTAATTTCGCCTCTTCCAAATCTCTGACCTGGTGCCGATTTTCTCGGTGATGTTTGTTCTTTTGCTTCCCAAGCCGCCATTCTATAAACCTTCTAATCCACGCTACTCTCTTCAGAGGTCGATGCCACGAGGAGTACCTGGCCCATAGCTTATCGAGGGTACCCTCCCCCTGGTCAGCGTTCGCCGTCAGCACCGTGGTTTCCTTCTTCACTTCTGGGTCTCCGTCTGTAAGGTCTGGAATCCTCAATGGACTTTTTGGCCAACTGTCTTCTTCCAAAAAGAGGAAAGCAGGTCCCCGAATCTACCTGCCCTCCTCGTTGAGCTCTGCTCCATGTAGTCCACGACTAGCGTCGTCGGCTGGGTTCAGTGCCAACATCACGTGGCGACATTGTTCTGCATTGCGAGTCCTCGTGCATTGTTGCCACTCGATTGGCCACGAAGAAATGGAAGCATCTTTCGGTGTTTCGTATGTAATGAAGGACTGTCGTACTGTCTGTCTAGAACACTGACCTGTCTATATGTAATTCAAGCTCTCGCCGTAGTTGTTTGCCTGCCTTGGCAGCCAGTACTACCGCGCAGAGCTCGAGTCGAGGTATGGTCTGCTGTTTCAGAGCGGCTAGCTTGGCCTTGCAACACACTAAGGAGATATGGTGGGTTCCATCTTCACACATGGTCCTCAGATACGATACAGCTCACTACGATACAGCTCACTACGCTTGTTGGGAGGCGTCGCAGAAGTGGTGTAGTTGCACGGCAGCCACTGGATTCGCATCCTCGGGTCGGTAGCACCTTGGAACGTGAACCCGTGATAGGTGAGGAAGTTCATCCAGCTATCTTAGTCATGCCACCCTGTTCTGTTCAGTCATTTGTTCATCCCACCCAACACCTCGTCTACACTAATCTTGGAATATGATTTTGGCTCTTATGACGCTCGGAGCGATGAGTCCCATTGGGTCATATATGGAGCTGACCATACTCAGAAGACCTCGTTTCGTCTCCGGTTTCTTAGGAATATGGACCCGGACCGCTAGTTCGTCCTTTTCCAGGTCCCACAAGATTCCCAACGCTCGTTCAGTGGGGAGCCTGTCGTCTTTCAAATTACTTCCTTTACTCCCACG